GGAAAGCAATTCTATGCTACAAGGAATTTTTACTTTGATATTTTAGATAATTTAAATTTTAAAGAAGGAAATTGCATGAAATCGTTTATTAGTTCCTATCACTGGAAGGATTTAAACAGATGCTAGATATGCGTTTTGAAAGAGGGTTTGATCATTAGTTAAGTGAGATGGGGATATTAAAATCATTAAAGTCTGCTTTAATTACACCTACTCCTCACTTTTCATATCTGACATTTCACATTGATGGCGATTAGAAAAAGTGCTTGGACTATTTTGTGCATTGACCATGTACATGTCGGACAGAGTAAGACAGGCTTTGATGGTTAGGAGTCGACTAGGCTCGGCCATAACCCTGTGGCCTGGAAGCACTGTAACATTGTGATTGGGCAGTACTTAATGACACAGCTATGCTTTGTTTGGCGATCTGGTGTCCCCACCCGCCATGTTCTCATTTTAGCATAATGACCTGGCCATTGGACCCTACTCATGTTGATAAGTGAGGAGTGCCCGTCAACAAGACAGATGTCTATGAATGTTGCCAAGACTTTTTGGATTGAATTTGTATCTTTTTTTTTTTTTTCTTTTTCTAAATACTTTTATTGGGGGCTCTTACATCTCTTATCACAATCCATACATTCCTCCAATGTGTTAAGTGCATTTGCACATTTGCTGTAATCAGTTTCAAAGCATTTTTTTTTTTTTTTTAAACATTTTATTAGGGGCTCATACAACTGTTATCCCAATCCATACACACATCAATTGTGTAAAGCGTATTTGTACATCATTTCTCAAAACACTTTCTCTCCATTTATGAATTTGTATCTTTTGGTACATTCTCTACATTTAAGCAATGTAAAATATAAGAAAGGCAAGGACTCACAAAAGTAAACATTTCCCTTTTGTATCATAAAGGTTTCAGTCAGAAGCAAAAGAGGCATTTTCTAGGAAAGGATTTCAAATTGCTGCCCAACTACGTAACAGTGGTTTCCAAAGTATGCCAGTCTAGCACACTGGTAACCAACAATGTCCCCCTTTGAACCTCAAAATAATTAACTACCTATCCTGACAGCTTTACTTTCATTACTAGTCGATTGATAAATAGGCATTTCTATATAAGAGTTTAAGAATTCTTACATGAGGCACACTCTTGCCAGTACCTCGGGGGATAGGACTGGGTGTGGGTAAGTCGTCCTTATTGGATTGATTAGGGATATTTGGGCCAGTTACAATTAAATATAGGGTGATTTAACATTGTATGATCCAGAACAATAAATACAGAACTTTCAGTTATATTTCTGAAATAGCACTTTATTTTCCCATATTGTATCACAGGAGAAATATGGGGGAGTAATGTCATGGCCTAGAGCCAATTCCCTTTAGTCTGCTTGAATCTTATGATATGGGGACAATGTAGGAGGAGGTTGGTAGTGAACAGGAGGACAAGGAATTGAGGAATTCCTACCACACTGGGGGTCATCTGACCCCCAAAGAGGTCGAGACCCACAGGTTGAGAACCACTGCCATAGGAGAAAGTAGGTAGCACTGCCCCTGTGAGCTTCCGAGACCGTTACTCTTTACGGGAGTAGAAAGCCCCATCTTTCTTCCTCAGAGCGGCTGGTGATTTCAAACTGCTGACCTTGCGGTCAGAAGCTCTACATCACCATCCCCAAGGCTCCTTTTCTTTCCATTAGTGCCCAGCTGCTACCTGATAGGGTGGAGGCCTGGGTCTACTCAGAGCTGCCTGAAGAGAAAGGCCTGGTGATGTACTTCGGAGAAACCAGCTACTGAAGACTCAAGGAAGCACGGTTCTCCTCTTGACACAAGGGGTCACCATGAATCAGGAGTGATTTTAACTTATTATTACAGCTTGTTCACGCGCCTTTCATTTTCCAACACCTGTTACCGCATGGGAGGCAGTGGTGGTTCAGTGGTAAAATTCTCCTCTTTTGTGAAGGAAGCCTGGCCTTGATACCTGCCAAAGCACTTCTTGTGCAGGTACCACCTGTCTCCCAGTGGTGCTCACGCGCCGCTGTGATGATGAACAGCTTCAGTGCACTGGGAAGAAAGGCCTGGCTACCTGCTTCTCAAACACAGCCACTGAAACCCCTAGACGCACAGTTCTATTCTGGGAACACGTGGGGTCACCAGGAGTCTGGTTCTGACTCAATAGCAGCTAACAAGGAACTTACACTATGTTCTGAACCATATATAAAATATTAATTATAATTAGATGAAATATTTACCAGTATGTTCAAAATCAAAGTAAAATTTTATAAAATGTATACTTATAATGTAAAAAAGAAGAAAACAATTATGTAAAATGCCATATTTTATCATGCGTGGCATGTGTATTCTTGCTCTTCTATTTAAAAACTTCCCTTAACTCTCCCCTCATTCCCTTAACTCTTAAGATTAAAAAAAAAAAAAAGCAAAAATAGCTTTTCTGTTTTAAATATTCTAAGGAAAGTTCACAGATTAGGAGCAAGAAACCCTTCACTCTTTATTAAAAAGAGAGATGCCACAGCAAAAATAAAGAAGTGTGATTCCATAGTGAAGCATTTTAAGAATTACCCATCCACCCACCCACCCAAACACTTTCTTCAGTTCACGAATGAGTGAAGATTTACCTCTGCCTAGGGTATAGTACTAGTCCAGAGGCCTTAAGGGCCTCCATGAGGTTCTTAAGAATCTAGTTCAGTCAACAACTCTCATTTTAGATTTAGTGAAGAACTGTAAAACTACCAAGTAGCCCAGGCTTGTGGGGAGCCTTCCCCATTTCAAATTGGAACATGTTATTTCCTCCAATAAATGGGATCAGGAGCGTAACTGACGTGAAAGGTGGTAAAAACTAATGTTTTTACCATTGGAAGCACTGGACTGCTAACTGCAAGGTCAGCGGTTCCAACCCCTCAGCCACACAGTGGGAGAAAAATGAGGCTATCTGCTCCCCTAGTGGTTTATAGCCTTGGAAACCACAGATAAGAGTCACTATGAGTTAGAATCGGCTAGATAGGCATGATATTTTGTTTTGGAGCTATAAGTCATAAGGAATTATAAGTGATAATGACTTGAGTTTGAATCCTGACTCCTTTTCTTACTGGACGACTTTCCACTCCTTTTAGCCTTCCCAGTCTCAATGAGTTGGAGTTGACTGGCAACTATTTTTGTGGGTAGAAGGTGAAGGGGTGGGGAGAAACCCTTAAATTCATTTCCAGGCGGTGCAAATGGTGGCTTACTAGTACTGCCCAGCAGTACTGTGGAAGGTCTGCAAACCCAATGGAGCAGCTCTACTTAAAAAAAAAAATCATCTTATTGGGGGCTCTTACAGCTCTTACAACAATCCATACATCTGTTGTTGTATCAAGCACATTTATGTTGCCATCACCCTTTCAGAACATTTCTTTTCTACTTGAGAGTTCTACTTTTTAACACATGGCGTTGCTATGAGCTGGGATAGACTTGATGGGAACAGGTTAAGTTTGGTCACATTTCAGAGCTTTAGTGATCATTCCTCTAAAATAAGGAGCCCTGCTAATGGTTACACATTGGGCTTCAATCTGAAAGGTCTGCAGTTTGAAACCACCAGCTGCTCCCTAGGAGAAAGATGGGGCTTTCTACTCCCACAAACAGTTATGGGGCAGTTCTACCCTGTCCCATAGGGTCATTATGAGTCAGCATTGACTGGATGGCAGTGAGTTTGACTTTTTAGGGAAAATAAGGACAGTAGTCAGTAGTAATTACTTCACAGCATATCACCTGGCACCAGTAAGCATTCAACATGTCCCCTCTTTTTACTATTATTTCTGTATATTGTGCAGAGACCCTCTAAGGTCGGCAGCTTATCTCACAAATTGTCTGGTCCTTCTGACCAGCAACCTGACCTTTTGATTTCTGCAATTGGTTAGTGTGTCATCTGGATCTCCACTATCCATTTCCATAGCCAGTGACACAAGAGCCCACAGAGAATTTACCTAGTCGGAAAACGCACAAAATACACAGCCTTTTTAAGACTTAGGGGAGAAAAATCTTAAATTTTATATTGGTTATTTATGAATGCATTTTGGCTACACTAGGTTAAGGAATGAACCCTGCCGGCACAGAGAATTAAGCGCTGGGCAGCTAACTGCAAGGCTGGAGTGGGAACCCACCAGTCACCCAGCCAAGAGAAAGATGAGGTTGTCCGCTCCATTAAAGATTTACAGTATCTAAAACCCAAAGGAACAGGTCTGCTCTATCCTTTAGAGTGAGGGCTGTGGGTTTGTTTTTTAATTTATGAGGCTAGATGAAATATAGTCATACATTAATGTCATGTTTCTTTGTATTTAAAAAAACATGTCTACAGGACATGTAAAATTACCATATTATATTTGGATTGGGCAGAATTGCTACAGGAACTTTGTACTCATAACTTAGACTAGCACAGCACCTGGGAGGCGATTCCCCGGGCCACTCCTAGGAACTTACCCAACAGGCGTTTGCATTAAGAACAAGATCCTGAGGCGATCCTTACACACTACTCTAAAGCATTCGGCTGTTGCAGGGTGAGAGGGTGGACCTGGACCCAAGTTACCTTGCCTTCGTCAACTGATGATAGAGGCGAGCGAAGAGTTAGGGAAAAAGAAAAAGAAACTCAAATGACAGGTGATAGTGAAGCAGAGGTGATGCATCCAACCCGGGCGATTATGTAGAAGAGAACTTCCAGACCCTTGCGTTCATAAAAGGGGAAGGGACGCAAATAGAGGTAAAACCTACAATTAATAACCTGCAAATGACAAACCAAACTCACTTCCTACTCGATTCCGACTCAAATTGCCCCTCAAGTTTCACCCGTTCCTCTGCGGCCTCATCTAGTAGGCCTGGATCCAAGAGGGTGTAAGTGGGGGTGCGACGCACACTATCATCCCTCTCCCCTAAACTGCTGGTTCTGCGCGGTGTCCCTCCACATGTTCCCCAAAGCTCTGTTTCCCAAAGACACTACGCGTTTCGCGAGGCTCACCTACCTGCGAGCCGCCCCAACGGCCTGTAGCTTCGCCACCGCCACTCCACCTAGGAGACCTTGCTCAGAGAGCCCGCCCCTTCGTGCCACGACGCTGTTCCCATTGGTCAGATAACTCGTCATTCCTGCCGTGCAGGGCCAGACACTCACAGGCTGCGGAGAACACCATAGCAACGGAACTCGGAACTACATTTCCCGGCATTCTCCGCTTAGGGGTGGGCCGACACCGCGCACTAGGAGCTTCCAATCAAACTGAGGCTGAAGCAGCTTCGCTGGGTTCCGTTTTATGTAAATTTAAAATCTAAAGACCACACCCTTCCTCATTCCAACTGTATTCCTGTTCATTTCCCGATATTAAATTGGTTAATCGTACCCTATGAAGTGTCTCGATAACAACTTATTCAATGAAATCATGGATCAAAATTCTATAAACCCGACAAAACCCCCAGATCCGAACCCTTCTGTAATGCTTTCGTGGAGGAAGTGGGGGTAGGGAGCCAAAAGAGGGCGACGCCCTCTCCGTCCGAGCATGCTGACTGGCTTGTTTGGCTGTCGCAGCCTCCTCTTTCACGGTTTCGGCTCCTCCTCCTTTCGACCCCGCGGTGGGCGGGGATAGCGGTAGGGAGGCGGTAAGGAAGCTTGAGCCCCTTTTCCCGATTGGCCAGATGTTTGCTCCCACCCACTTGTGGGTGGGCCCAGAGGGGTGGCTGGGGGCGGGAGAGGCAGTGGAGGGAGGTGTGGAGATAGGCGGGAGCGAGGGAACGAAGGAGGGAGTGAAGGAGGTAGAGAGGAGCGCTGGGGCGAGGGAGGGCTCGCAGCTTGGTTGCTCCGGAGTACGGCGGCTCGCGAGGGAGAATCCCGAGGGGGCTCCGGACCGAGAGAGGCGGCCGGCGGGGATGGTGAGCGGGGCTGCGGCTCCCCCGTGCCCCCCCGCGGCGTGTGGGCTGCACTGATTTGTCCCCGGGGCGGCAGCGCGGATCCGCCTGGAGATGAGGTGAGCGGGAGTCAGCTGGACGGTGGCGGCGGCGGGGGTCGTCGCGATGGCCGCTCGAGGCGCCCTTCTCCCGGGCCGGCTCGGGTCCCTTCAGCCGCCCTTCACCCTTACCGCGCGCCAGGGAGGCGCGGCGCGAGCCACCCTGCGCCCCGTCCTTCCCCGTCCTCCCGGGAACGGCGGCGGGGCCGCTAGGGAGCCGCGGCAGGCCCTGGAGGTGGCGGCCGCGGGACGGCTTCGGGTTGAATGGGTGCCTGCAGCCCGGGCTAGTCGGGCGGCGTCGCTCCCTCGGGGGGCGGCGGGGGCGGCGGGTCCTCCCTGGCTGACCTCGCTGCCGTCGGCCAAGCCTCGCCCCCTGGATAGCCGCTCGGGGACCCGGGGCGCGCGGGGAGCGGCATCGCGCCGCCCCCCTACCCCACCCCACCCCCTCGCGTCCCCGGCCTGGAGTCCCCAGCTCATCCCTCTTTCTTCTCTGAGTGCCTGCAAAATCCGCCTGTGAAGGGCAGTCAATGCCGTTTGGCCCTAAGTCGTCCTGCCGGGACCGTCTCTGATGGTATTTAACAGATAGCGGCTCCCTTTGCAGCCAGAGCGTGTCCCTGCTGTCTGCTCCTCCTTCCCTTCTGGAAGAACGGATCGGGTTCGCGGTGAACCGAATCGCAGTCTCCGTGTGCTGGAACCAGAGGAAATGTAGTCACAATCCTCAGGAAAAGGAAAACAACGGGGAGTAGGCTGCACCCTCCTCACTTCTGTTTGCCTTTGACTCAGGAGACAACTTCGCAGATTACATTTCCTTCGGGTATCTTTTGTTGTGATTCCGACACGGTAGAAGGTGTTTGCTTTTGAAGAAACAGATTTGTGGCTTCTCGGTAGAGCTGGAAGCTATGGAGATTTTTGATCGCCTCTGATGTAATGAAAGTTTCCTTTAGAACTTTGCTGTCATCGGTACTATTTTGAATGCTGCCCCAATCTAAGATTTCAAATCCATGCAGACTTTCTGGCCAGATGTATTTCTTTGTGCTTATCTGTTGGGCTCCTCCTCTATTTTTCTGGTCAAAATGTACAAATCATCAATATGAAATACAATTAAAAAAGCACAGATCATAAAAGCAAGTCCAATAACAAGCAAATGTCATCTGGAAAATTTTAATTCTGTCCACAAGGAGGTAGTTTTAGCAATTCCGTGGAACCAACCCATGGAAGAAACAGGCTCATTATGGGTCTTGTAGTGGACAGGGTCTGAGGGCAGGCCAGCTAGTGTGCTGCCGTGCTCTGAATCCCTAAATTATGGTGCATGCATTTCTGTGGATCTCTTTAATTTTAGATGAATTTAAGGTCGAGAGTCCAGAAGCTTAAACAGCTCAGTTATCTATGAGACTATGTTATCTTGATTTAAAATGGTTTTCCTACTTTGCTTATCACTAAAGCATCTTTACAAAATATTAGAGTTCTTTCCTCAGTAAAATTAGACCAACTTGCCTTTAAGTTGTTCTAGTAAGGGGCATTTCTGACGGTGGGTTACAAATAAATATTGGTAGTTCTTTGTCCAAGAATGTATTTGTTAAATTGCTGAGGCTCATGGTACCTTCAAGACAGAACTATTATCATTTTGGGTAAGAGAGGAAATGAACACATTTTTAATGTACTTTGGAACTCTGTGCATTGTTCAGATACTCGGTATTGTGAAATAGGGGATAAAATGAGTGGTAGCAAGTTAGTTCCGTGAAATGTTTGCTACTCTTAGCATTCATTTTTTCCCCCGTTGATTAGCAATTTCCTTCTTAATGCTTATCTCTACTACTGCTCTAGAACTGTGCCGAAGTTCATCATTTCCCCAAATGCCCATGTTGAGGCAAACTCTCGGAACACTTAAAAAAAATTACAGTTCCTCAAGTCATCTGTTTAATTTTCTACATTTGTGAATTTTAGGGAATTCATTACATGAGAGGAGACCTGGTGGCACAGCTGATTAAACATTGGCCTGTGGCCATTTCCAGCAGTTTCTGTGGGAGAAAGATGAGGCTGTCTGTTCCCCTGAAGATTGACGGTCTCAGAGACCTCAGCGAGCAGTTCTGCTGTGTCCTGTTCGGTTGCTGACAATGGGTAGTACGTGAGGGTTGGGCTTATGTCTGTCACTGAGCTCAGATTCCACTGCCTTCGTGCATTCTGGAGCCTCTTTCCAGATGATTTTTTCTTTCTGAATGGCTCCATCACTGACTGGTTGCGTTTCTCAAATTCTGGCTCTGAGATCACTTACATAGACAAGAACTGAGGTACTTGTTAGCAAAATACAGGTTTCTGTCCACCCACTTCAGAATCTGACTCTCTAGGGGTGGGACCCTGGAATCTATATTTTTAACAAACTCTCCAGAACTTTTCCTGCACAGTAAAGCTATCCTTCACAAAACACTGGCCTTTTCCGGCTTCCCTCTCCATAAGCATCTTCTAAATTTTATTCAGTTATTTATGTGTGCCTTTAAATGGGTAGCTTTTTTACTTAGAGACTCAAAGTGCAAATTTAAGTCACAGTGTAGCAATAAATTACTGTATTATTAATATACCAAAATGCTATTTCTATAAGCTGCTAAGCCCAAGTAATGCTATACAAATTGTTTTCTGAGAAATACTAGAAAAGTGGCATATTTCAATTTTTCATTTGGTGCTAATTAGATAGCTCTTTACTATCTCCTCCCAACCTCCCGAATTTAGCCTGTTGTTAATGTTGTATGTCATCAAGTTAAATTATGATGTGTAAACCAAAACCAATAACATTCACTGCCATTGAGTTGATTCTGACTCATAGCAGACCTTTAGGGCAGTGTAGAACTAACTGCCCCTTTGCCTTTCCAAAGGTTGTAACTCTTTAAGGAAGTAGAAAATCTTATCTTTCTTCCACAGAGCGGCTGGTGGTTTTGAACTGCTGACCTTGTGGTTAACAGCCCAACATAGAACCACTATGCCACAAGGGCTCCCTAATGGCTATTAGCAACCCCATATGACACAATAGGAGTGCCCCATAGAATATTCTTGATTGTAATCTTTATATCTGGAGATTACCAGGCCTTTCTCCTGCAGAGCTGCTCTAACTCCAAACCCACGGCCATTGAGTCAATGCTGACTCATAGCAATCCCCTGTGGGTTTCCAAGACTGTAATAGTGACAGCTTTTTGGTTAGCAGCCACGCTGAGGTTAACCATTGCCATACTAACCAAATTAGTGCCATCAAGTCATTTCTAACTCATAGGGACCTTACAGGACAGGGCAGAACTCCCCCTGTGGGTTTCTAAAACTGTACGCCTTTATGGGAGGTTTTGAACCACTGACTTTGTAGTTAACCCAAAGCATAACCCATTATGCCACTGGGGTTCCTAAACCCAAAACTATTGCCTTCAAATTGATTCTGACTCATATCACCCCTATAGAGTAGAACTGCACCAGGGGTTTCCAAGGCTGTAATTGTTACAGGGCAGGAGACTTCCTGCCATAGTGGGTTAAATGCTTAGCTACTAACCACAAGATCAGTGGTTCAAACCCACCCACTGCTCTCAGGGAGAAAGATGAAGTTGTTTGTTCTTGTAAAGATTTACAAGTTCAGAACATGTAAGGTCACTATGATCTGGAACCAATTTGGTGTCAGTGGGTTTAGGTTTTTTCGAGTTTAATCTTTTACAGAAGATGACTACTACGTCTTTCTCCCACACAGTGCTTGACTGCTGGGGTTCCATCTGTAACAGGCTCTGCATGTGTAGATGAGGGTGCTGGATGGTCATGAGGTCATTCGTGCAGTACTGTGGGTAGGTTGGTATTGCGCTGCTAACCGCAAGATTGGCAGTTTAAACCCAGTCAACTCAGAGTGAGAGAGATGGGGCTGTGTGCTCCCATGAAGACGTACAGCCTCAAACCCTTTGGTTGGAACTGACTGTATGGTAGTGGGTGTGAAGACCATTGAGTTTGACCATATGCATATAGTCTATTACTCTGATCAAGATATCTAACCTCTCAGTGCCTAATTTTCTCAGCTAAAAATGAGAATAATTGCAGCCACCCAGGATAGTAATGTAGATAAAGTTTTCATGCTTTTAAAGTAAAGTTTAAATGCTTTGGAATGCTTACATAAATGCTTGAAACACATAAATGGTCATGATGACAAAAAATTGGGCTGTAAGAAACTAACCCATTAATTTTTCTGTTATAGTAGTTTTTTTGTTTATAGTAGTAAGTAGAAATCCATTGCTTAAAAATAGTCTTTTGACAATCTCTTGGTACCAAGTATGAATCACTTTTAATTGGATAACCAACTAAACATTTGAATGTGTTTAATAAGCCATCAGATATTTTATGACTATAAGTTAAAAAAAAAAGATAAACTTTGTGATGACCTTCAGTTTAATTGTATTATTTTAGAACCAATCTGAGAATTGGTTATGATACTTAAGTAATATCCCTTGTGTTTTATGCTTGTAGTCGAAATATTAGAAAATGAAAACATTTGTAAACCCACTACTGGAGTGTGTAACCCTCTAAATCTTTGAGCCTGTGGATATTCATACATACTTTTGTCTGATTTGTTATTGTAATAGTTGAATAATTAAACACCCGATTGAATGAGAGCCCATTTTATGGATCTGTGGTGAGTTAATGTGAGCCCCAGTGGCATAGTGGTTACAATGTTGGTGTACTAACCTCAAGGTCAAAAGTTTGAAACCACCAGCTGCTCTGTGGGAGAAAGATGAGGCTTTCTACTTTCAAAGAGTTACAGTTTCAGAAACCCACAGGGGCAGTCCTCCCGTGCCTAACATTATTCACTATGGGTCTCAATGGACTCATTGGCAGTGAATTAGGTCTGAGTTTTGATAACCACCTTACTTTTATTAGGTAGTTACCACAGTTATTGGTAATCACAAGTGTAAATAACCCTGCAAAGACTAGTGTACATATGTTTTCGTGTATACCTGTGAGCCCCCCCACCAGGGGTAGGTATTTAAGTTTTGCCATACATACATCCA